TTAAATTCTAAGAAAATTTTAAAAATACGCATAATCGTACGCTAAAAACCTTTTCCCCAAGGACCTCCACCAAAAGCCCATAATTCTGTTGTCCGAGTACAGTTTCTGGCATCGTTCTATAAAGCAGAGGGGGCGCGACATCTTCTAATTTTGCCAACCCTTCTACAGTGCCAGCATCACACTATCTAAAATATAAAAACCGATAGGAGTTGTTGATTCCTCACGCACACTTTCACAAAATATGTAAAATAGTGAATAACATGAAATCATGCGATCATGATATGGAAATAATCGAGGGGAAAACAGGGAAGACTTTGGTCCTGAAGTCTCATAAAGTGTCCTGAAGTCTTGAAATACGCTGTTTCGCCCTTGGATATGATTGAGGTGAAAGTAAAAATTGTCACTTATACGCTCAAAATAAGAATAATGAAATGTAACTCTTTTGCACAGAGTGCAGGCATACACTTATTCTTTTTTAGCAGAGTGCGAGATAGAGTGGAACTCTGAAAATGTTAGTGTAACGTGCCTTTTGATTTTGCTTCGTGTACTCATCATTCAGAACGCTGGTCAGAAGCATCATTGATCTTTTGTTTTTTATTTTGAAAGAAAGACTTAATTTGACTTTGTTTAGCCGGTATTGGTATACGAAAAGAGTGATGATATTTAAGTGTCTAACATTGGAAAATTTATGATAAGCAGAAGTTTACGCAATCATTAAACTGCAAGTTGTACTAAAAAACAATTCGACTTCGACGTCGATATAGATGCCAACGAAGTCCAATAAATACCTCACTACACACGAGTTGGTAATAGAGAAGAAATGGACTGACGTTGTAACAACGCGTCATCTATCAGAGTATGAAAATTAAACAATACTAGAAATTGTTTACATCAAATCAAGCCTACCCAAGCTTAGTGGCTCCGCCGCTTATTATTATATGTGAAAACCAATCACACATCATCGGAGCTATTCCCCGAAATGAATCGCCACTCGCGTAGAGAATTTGAGTTCATCTTAAGATATGTCAAGAAAGTAGAAGGAGGCACCAGATGTTCGCTAATGTGACTTGCGCGAATTATTGACGAAAGTCCAGGGGATATATTTGCAAGTGTCTACCTGACTTTCGTCAATTGGCGAATGTCTTAGGGTATACTGGAGAAAGTCAGGTGAGCATTCTCCAATATTAGTGATAGTCGACTTGAGCAATCGTTAAGGACATGTTCGGATATTATATGATCCAGTAGAAGCGGATACAATGAAAACGTGTAAGTTAAAAATGAGGCGGCAAAAGATGTATTCCAGATTAGCAAAGGTAGAAAGACAAGTCGTTAGTTGCTGATGTTCCTTTTTCGAGGAACCTTTGAACAACCTTAAAGGAGCAAGATTAACACTCTGACTACAGTCAAGGAAATAAACTTGCAAAAAATAATCAGTAAATCAGAGCTTTGATTTTCAGTAGTTCTGCATCATTTTTAATTTCATAGATTGTACTCGAGAAATTCATCAGTACACCGGCACAGTAACAACGCGTGGCCAGGAGGCAGAGACCAAGTTCTGTGTCATTCAGTAGAAGAATGCTGACTCGATCGTTACAATGGAGATTGAATTCACCCAAGTTAAACTGATTTGTGATGAATTTTTTAATTTCTTTGTGTATAAAGAACAGACAGAGTAGAAGAATAGGTTGCTAGATTACTGCCGTCGTTTTCTTCAGGTAGAAGCTGTAACAGTGATTCGAATTGGAGTTCATTTGAGATGTAATTACCTAACGAATGCTGTTGTGAATAGTCTTTGTTTAATTTTGATAGCATACATAAAACAATATTGGTCTCCATTACGGTGAATAAGGACTAATAATATTTCGCAAAACAGTAAATCACAGAAATAAAAAACGCTTTTGTTTTGTTATTTGTTCTCGATTCGAAGTTTTGAAAGTTAATTTTTACAACACATTTGTTCGAATAAAAGATGATAAAGAAAATATTATTCCATTTGTACAGGGACGTTTTTCCGACGTAACTGAAAGGTAAATTACTCTTAACTTCAACGTGCCGTTGGTGCTCATCTCTGCCCAACACTTGGTACGTAATGCAACTTACAGTGACATAGGTTAACGTGCTCAAAGCGTAACGTCTGAAAACGTCGAGATGTTGCCACCACTCATAGTTCATTGCATATATCCACTCACACGCATCTTCCTGCTCCCCGCCTCGACAAAGTTGTGTTTTCGACTCTGTTTTTTTCTCTAATTTCTAATTTTTCTGTATTAGATTGGCAAAAGAAATCGTTGCGATTGCTGCAAATTCAGGCAGATGAATATTATGCAATTCTCACGAGCGTAGAACGTTAAGAATTCCAAACTTTCACTGCTAAGGCATCATTATACTGTATAACGATAATATGACAGTTCTGTTTAGTTTAGTCTCATAAATTTTTGTATCCGAGTATTATGTAAATCAGCCACATACGAATTCATTTCTGAATCAAATGCAAGTCCATTTGGATTATTTAATTGATGGTTATCACTTCCTGCTCTACCACCGATACCAGCTATCGTTATTCCATTACCGTTTTACCCATGACAGATCATTTGTATTCGATGATTCAATTGATCAGCAACATAAACATTACCATCAACTCGAATTTGGTAGTTTTGTTATCAGTTTATTATATTCTCTCTCTCTCTCTATATATATATATAGAACTAAACATATATGTATGTGAATTATGTATAAGATATATATTCTCCTAGGTCTGAAGGCGTCTAGGTATATAGGTTTTTAGATATTTAGGTATTTCGGCTTGTCCACGTAACGCGACACTTCACTGATCAAGTCTTGTTTTTATTTTTTTCATCGGAAAATCGACAGAAGCCCAGCACCAGACGTAGTTTTTCATGTTGATCACAAATTCGGCCTTTATTTTGAAAAAAAAATTTTTTTCAAGTAAAAAATTTCAATTTAAAATTTTTGAAAACTTTAATTTTAATTTTCTAACCTAGAGATTTTCGTAAGAAAATTTGAAACTCTTAATAAAAAAATTTGATTTGACTCCTAACATTATCTATTTAAACACTTTCCATAAGAAACGGCGAAACAGAAACATGACCCATAAGTTATGACTATATTTTTTACTATGTCTGGAAGTTGAATCTAGAATTTTTCTATCAATAGTGCAACTGATGCCAATCTGACTATATTGGAACCAGAGTTCAAATTTTATTGATATGCACTATCAATCATCCAGTTATTCTTGTCAAACATGACAAAAAGTACGATGGTACATCACTCACAATACAGAAACAAAATGCGTTGTAGTCTCCACCCATTCGCACCATTCTGCAGCTGTCTGTTTTACGCATTCTGCTTCTATATTGTGAGTGATGAAGGTATTTATTATTATGTTTGTAATACCTGATAATCGATAATCCATAGCAATAAACTTTCACTTAAGACCTTTCTAACATCGCAAATCGACAGCTCGTTCAGCAGCTCGAAAATGAGACATCGACAAAGTTTCTACATCGTTTTTGTGATGAAATATAAAGAAAATGCGGAGATGAGCACCAACGACGCGTTGAAGTTAAGAGGAATTTATTCATTAAGCACAGAAACGAATTTAGATAAACTAGAGAGTTTGCAGTATCATGCGGCTCTAGCTATTTTAGGAGCTATCAAAGGCACTTCTAAAGAAAAAGTACTTGAAATATTAGGATGAGTTTCCATAAAAAATCATTGTAAAATTCTTCGATTACTAACTTTCTCTAAAATCGCAAAAGGTGGAGACGGTAAATAAGATGGATAAAGATTTTTTACTGTTGTGTTGTAGCACGGGACTGAAATGACCTCAAATAGTAATAATTTTAACTGATGGCTTAACACAGGAACGACATGATCCAAGTTATTCAGAAGCAATACATAAAAATAAAATAAAATTAGGTTTTGTGTTTATTGAAGATGATGAAAATTCAAGTGAAGATTTATTAAAAGCATTAGAAAAACAAATTAAATATTCAAATTCGAGATACACATGAATTGAACGAGCAGAAAAAAGTGAACAAGTTAGGGTAGTTTCAAGAGGCTAAGTCAATGGTCAAAAACATTCAAGTTATTCAAATTTTTTAGGTTAAGAAACTGTTTTTTTCCGGTAAAACAGCTAGCACGCAGCCCGACCTTTTTTTAATAGAACAGTTTTAACGCAGTTTATAGAGCGATAAATTCTGTACAAAATGAACTACTTTACATTGAAATGCGGTCTCAGAATGAGTCCAAAAATGAGCTACAATATAAATACCACCAGCATTAGTATCATTCATTAACCTGCTGGAAACTTTAGTTTTCACTCAACATATGTCATTCTCCAAGAAAACTGATGTTGAAGAAATCAATACAAATCATATCTATTTTCTACTACTCACGTAATCATTTTTAACCAAAAAATAAGCTGGGTCGTTTATCAGCCTTTTGCGGGCCACTCCTTTCAAGTATTTCAGGTTTTTTGCTCAAAAGCAAGGTGGTTTTCAGATTTTCCAAAACATTTCAGGTATGTCGGGTGAAATCTCACTCTTGCAATTGAATTTTTCTATGGTATTTATGTACTTTTTCTATGAAAGCGTACAAATTACTGGTTACGAAAGAAAGAGAAAACCAATACAATCTTGTATGTTTTCGAGTAGATAAATAATCAGCATATGCGTTGATCAAATGTTACATAAAAAGTAGTTACGGTCGTCGGGGTTTTTAAGTGGACAAGGTCTCATGTAAGTTGGTGCAATCATTAAATACCTTAGATTTGAATAGAGAATAAGCACTACATTCCATTCTCACTTTGTTAAACTATTTAATTCGATTATTGACTAAATTTTGCTTATAGTGGAAGTGTTTTTAAAAAATTATCTCTTGTATCGAAATCTTGTCAAGATATTAACATTTTCTATAACAGCAAAGCCTTCTAGTTTTTAAACTACGGATATGTGCACTGGAAAGAAATTGTTTCTTGCTTAATTATTTACTACTACAGCACCATTCGATATCAGTGTATAATTCAATGTTCCTTGACTATAATGTACAGCGGCACCATTATCAGCTATTACATTAACTGTTTGTGTTGCACAAACATAGACAGTAGCATGGTTATTAGCATTTACATTTGCTATTGTCGGACACTGTCCAGATATTCGTGTCATATTAACATCTGCATGATTATCAGCAAAAATATTGATAACACCTGTTGTACAAATATTGTCAATAGTGGCACCGTTATCGGCTGTAACATTTACAGTTGAAAGACAACCGTAAGATGAGGCATTAAGGACATAATTATTATTTGCAGTAATTAGAAATGTTGCAGCAGTAGTAGTTTGGGGTGTGGTTGTGGTTATCACAGCTGAAACGACGAAAAGAAGAGATGAAAGAGAGAGAGAGAGAGAAATGTATTTCACATGATATACTTGTTGGGATAGCAATTGTGGTGGTAGTACCAGTACTAGTACTGCCGGCTGTAGTACCAGTACTAGTAGCGCCGGTGGTGGTTGCTGTGGACACCGTTGTAGGTGTTGTAACATCTGAAAACAGCAAAAGAAGCTCCTGTATAATGTGTCTTCAGTTCGAAAGCTGGAATTGTTCAAAAAACCACTGACTCGCTTCTGTGGTGATGGTGGTAATAGTGGACGTCGTTACTGTTGTTTCATCTGTACTTAATTTTGGCTTTAGTAAAACAGCGACGATAGTTGCAATAGCACCAATCAAAGCCATTAGAGACAGAAGGGCTAGTGCTATTAAAACACAAATTAATGGATTACAGCAGAAGGCTAATAATCTAAAAAACGTGAAATGAATGAATGCAACGCAGCCAATAAGTGCAACCACGACCTAGCGAACAGAAAGAAAGAAAGAAACCAAAAACCTGCACAACATATATATTTTCTATCCACAGACATCAACTCTACATTTTACCTTCAACATTTTTTGACTTTTCTTTTCTCATCGTGAGAAATAACAACAAGATGTTAAATCAAAAATTTAATATTATTTTAAATAATAATTCAAAGAGGTAATCTTCCTCGGAGTACACCGCTGACCTGAATGATCTTTTACGGACACACAGCCTACAGTGTGGTAGTAAAAAAATTTTCTGTGGCTCTTCTATATGTCGCAGTGAATTCAGCTTTTTAACTGGTTCCGTTATTGAGTTATTGAATTTCTAAATTTTCCAGAGATTCGCTTCTGAGTAGACTCATATTAAAACGCTCGTTACGCGGGGGGGGGGGGGGGGGGGGGGGGGGGGGGGGGGGGGGGGGGGGGGGGGGGGGGGGGGGGGGGGGGGGGGGGGGGGNTTTGTTATTAAATTCCTTATTTTTCCGGCCTTCCCGTTAGATTTTTCCGATATTTAAATCGTGCTTACCGGCCCCCCCCCCCCCTTCAGAATGAAATCGTTTTGTACCAAAGAACCAATTTGGAGACAAGCACATGAAAAGATAGACTGGAGTGTTTATTTTCAGAATCTGTACCGCTTTCGAATCTAGAATTGATTTTACGTGGTTTTCGAGCAAGTGTTCTAGAAGCCTTGGAAATCAGAATTTTCAAATAATAAGTTTGTTCTGGACACTTAAGCAAGTAAATTTTTTCTGAACACGCAGATTTGTAGAGCAGACGTTTTTGACCAAAATAAGATGTTGTTCAACTCTGTATGGTCTTGTGTTCAAAAATTACAAGCATTTTCCTAGATTTCCTAAAACAGACCAACGAATGCAAAGCGTTTGCTCTCAAAACACGTGCTTTTGTCTAACTTCGTCCAGCGTAGATCCCTTTTCTTAATAATGTTCATCAAAGAAAAAAATTTCTTTTTAATCGAAAGAGCATAAAATTCTGCGAGAACTGATCGAAGCAGATTTTTAATTAGGCCTTAGTTCCTTAGGAAAAAGAACTTTGGAAAACTTGAAAGAGTTTTTTAGAATCTTGCATCTCTAGAGAATGAACAAAGGCCTGATTAAAACATCTAATCCCATCAGTCCTCTCGCTAGGTGTCTGGTTTAAGATAAAACCAACCCGAGATCTCTATCTTGAGTTGTATTAAAGAAAAGGGATTTACAGTGAAGGGTGGGACTCAAGAAAACTCCGGAACGGTAACAGGTAGAGAGTAAAAGAAATATTGTCATCACACCTTTGAGTGTGCAACATTTGCTGAAAGTTTCAGATCAAAATCGGATATAAGACAAAAAAGTTTTTTTCTGAGGGGAGGCCCTTAAACCCCCTTAATACTTTACACAAAATACTCAAATTTTCAGAATTAAGACAATTTCATGTATCAGTTACACTAAGAAAATAAAAATGTGTTTCGGAGCAATATTTGGATTATAGGATTTCCAGAGACCTCTTTTTAAAGCAGGACATTTCAGAATATCAAAACTATAGAACCCTGATCATCTCAACATGTGCATATCTAAAACCATTCAATTTCTGAAAGTTTGAGTATTTTCTGTGACGGATTTGGAGCGTTTCCAAAGATTTTTATGTGATCTGGAAACCACGGTTTTCTGAGACCTCCATCTCAATTTCCAATACTAGCACATCACTTTTTTTTATTGGAGTGTATAGTTCTTATCGCGATCCTTCGTTTGAGGCCAAATTCAAGATTCCACGCCACGTCATTCAGTTTGTGGCAGCATCTCAGCATAGGTCAAATCCGCTGAAAAACGGTGAAAAATGCATTTTTCCGCTGACGCAGTAAAAAGCTCATAACTGTTTTTCTGCACAAGATGAAGGGATGCGGGTTTCTGTGGGATCTACTAGAAAAGTGTATCATGTTTCTTGCACCAAAAGTTGATGTAATGGTGGTAGGTTTTAAACGGATTCACCCGTTTATTATCGAGTAACCCAAATATCGTCGTGTCACTCGCTATTTTTTATGCCGAAAAAGTAATGATATTTACTTGTGTTTTCGTCGCCGTAAAGGTGAAGTCCGCATAAGAACGGAAATCGGCCCACTAACAATAACCGCTCCAATCGGTCCAAACCTCATCAGAATCACATCCAATTATGATATTCAATGATTTCGACCCTTCCGAGCGCTTTT